GCCGGGGCTTACCATTTTCCCCCGATCTCCACACTGAGGTGTCAAGATCGTGGTCGAGACCTTTTTTGGCCCGCCTCTTTAGTCCCTCACTCATTGATTACAGCAACGTGATGGGACTTAGTGAGCGTGGTTATAGATCGATGCCCTGGGTTGAACAGACACTCGCGAGTTATCTGTCTCCCTGTGTGGCATCGTCTCTAAAAGCCCCGGCACTGTCCACCAGGCCGCTTCACGACGCTCTGCTTGCGCCTTCTGGCCTGTTCATCGACGCCGCGTTTCAGCGGTTCTTGCCTTGCTGCTCTCTGGCTCATGGGGCTACTGGATGGGAGCAGCCCCAGCCGTGTGCCCCTCTCCTTGTACAGAGAGGCACAGAAAGTGAGCGTCGCGACTCATACACCCCCATGTCAATGGGGATCGCGAAGGGAGGGTATCTAAGCCAAAGGCCGATCTGAGGACCGTCCTTCTGGCTAAGAAGTCTTCGGCCAAGAAGCCCTGATGTTTGTGTCCCAGGGCTTCTGAGGGCAGCCCCCTCTGGGGAAGGGTGGTGTACACCTCATTACATGGTGCGTGTCTCTCCTCAGTGCCCTCAGGAGACCGAGCTGTTAACCCTGCCTCCGCCAGTGCTTCAGGGCACAGCGAGTGCACGTCTCAGTGTCTGCCAGATAACATTGCAGATCTGGGAAGTCTCCTACTATTCTCGAGAGACTGATTCCCTTAGTAGATTTTCTGACAGCGTGGAAGCTTCTGCCAAATATCTCAAGATGGGTCTTGCAGACTGTAGAAAGGGGTTATAGAATTAAATTAGGTTCTCCTCCACCTCGTTTCAACGGGATTGTTTCCACTGTGGTGGGTCCCGAGCAGGCTCTGGTGTTAGAACAAGAAGTAGATACTCTTCTGAGGAAGGAGGCCATCGAGGTGGTCCCTCCTCTTGACAGAGAATCCGGGTTCTACAGCCAGTACTTAATTGTTCCGAAGAAGGATGGGGGATTGCGCCCGATTTTAGATCTACGTCAGTTGAACCGCTCAGTCATGAGACTGAAGTTCAAGATGCTTACAATAAAACAGGTCGTGTCTCAGATCAGGTCCGTGGACTGGTTTGTCACGATAGATCTAAAAGACGCGTACTTCCATGTCTCCATCCTTCCTCAACACAGGAAGTTCCTGAGGTTTGCTTTTGGGGGCGAATCTCACCAATATCGGGTTCTTCCATTCGGCCTTGCACTCTCACCGCAAACTTTCACAAAGTGTGTGGATGCTGCTTTGGCTCCACTGTGACTCCAGGGCATCCGCATACTAAATTATATCGACGATTGGTTGATTCTAGCTCAATCGGACTAGACGGTGGTTCGACATTGAGATGTCGTTCTCGCCCATATGAAAGAGTTGGGGTTAAGACTAAAAGCAAAGAAAAGTGTGCTTTCTCCATTACAGAGGACCACTTATCTGGCCGTGGTGTGGGATTCAACCACGATGCAGGCACAGCTGTCTCCTGGTAGGATCGAGTCGATCCTCACTGCAGTCGCGAGAGTCAAAGAGGGCCGGTCACTCACTGTCAAGCAGTTTCAAAAATTGCTGGGTCTGATGGCAGCTGCATCCAACGTGATACCTTTTGGCCTGCTGTACATGAGACCCCTACAGTGGTGGCTCAAGACCAAGGCGTTTTCCTCGAGAGGAAATCCGCTTCGCATGATCAAGTTCACGCGGCGATGCTTTCGTGCCTTAGACACGTGGAGGAAACCTTGGTTCTTGTCACAGGGCCCGGTGCTGGGAGTTCCTTGTCGTCGCGTAATGTTAACGACAGATGCGTCGCTCACCGGTTGGGGTGCGGTCATGAGTGGCCACCCTTTCACTGTGTCTGTGGAGCGGCCGCCATCTCACGTGGCACATCAACTGCCTGGAGATGCTGGCCGTATTTCGAGCATTGAAGCACTTTCTCCCAGACCTAAGAGATCGCCATGTGTTGGTGCGCACCGACAACACATCAGTGGTCTCATACATCAACCACCAGGGAGGTCTGCGTTCTCGCCCCTTGTACAAGCTGGCGCACCAGATCCTTGTGTGGGCCCAAGGGAAACTCCTTTCACTAAGAGCAATTCACATCCCTGGGCATCTCAATCAGGGAGCAGACAACTTGTTGAGCTAGGGGCCGAGACCCGGGGAATGGAGGCTCCACCCAGAGGTGGTGTGTCAGATTTGGAGAATGTTTGGCCAGGCTGTGGACTTGTTTGCTACTCAGGAGTCATTGCACTGTCCCATCTGGTTCTCTCTGACTCATCCAGCTCCACCGATTGCTCTGCTCCCGGGAGTTCTGGAGAGAGTGTCTGCTGCTAGCAGCCCCGTTCTGGCCGGGCCGAGTATGGTTCTCAGACTTGATTTCCCATCTCGAAGGCTCTCCATGGGAGATTCCCATCAGGAGGGATCTCCTCTCACAGGCGGAGGGTATGATCCTTGACCCCCACCCGGAGCTGTGGAAGCTGGGGGTGTGGCCTCTGAGGGAGCACAACTCATAGCTTCCGGTCTCTCAACCGAGGTTGTTGAGACCATCCTCCAATCTAGAGCTCCCTCAACAAGGAAACTGTATGCCCTGAAGTGGAAACGCTTCAGTTCCTGGAGTAGAGATCGCCAGCTTGACCCAGTTAACTGCCCGGTCGGTTCAGTGCTGAATTTCTTGCAGGCTCGATTCTCTGCAGGGTTGACCCACTCCACCCTGAAGGAGTACAGGACGGCTATAACTGCTTACCACGCCCCTCTCGGTGGTCAGTCAGTGGGAAGACACCCCCTGGTTACACGTT